GCTCCCGCCGCCGCCGCCTCACAGGGTCCGGCCCGCGCGTAGCCCTGCAGCCGCCGCGGCCACCGACCCCGGCACGGCCGCCATCTTTGTTTTCGCTGCGCGGGGGGCTCCTCCGCCGCCACCGCCCCCGCCATCCTCCCGGTCACGTGAATGCACACAGAGCCAATCTGAGCGCCGCTCGGCGCTAGACACCGCGGCGGCCAGAGCCAATGGGCGCGTGAGGTCGCCTGAGGGCCCACCCCTGCAGCTGATGGGCAGGAAGGGGGCAGGCCCGCGGCGGCAGCGGAGGGGCGCGCACCTGGGGCGGGGAAGTCTTCGCGGTGGGCAAGCGCTCTGCTCAGGTCTGCCGGGCTAGCCAGGCGGAGGGCAGCCCCAGGCCCTGCACGTCGGGGTGTGCTGCGCCTTTGTCTCCAGGACTCGGGCTTGCGGGCGGGGGCTCCGGCCTGGCTCGCCGGATTGGATGGGCCCGAGCTGGCAAACCCGCCCGGCACCCCTCTCCATCCTGTGGGGGACCGGATGTGCTTCGGAGAGAAGCCAAGCGAGGCACTTCCCCGGGGAATCCACTGCTCCGCCCAAACCGGTTTCCTGACCCTGGGGTGGGGGGGCTGAAGAAGGGTCCATGGAGGAAAGTGAGGGTCTTGGGTAATTAAACTTGGCTGCCACAGGCCGCGGAGAAGCCGGAAGGCAAATAGGTAGAGTTCGAGTCAGCCCAGGGCGGGGATGTGGGTTTCCGCGAACAGCTGTAGTACAGGCCTCCCCTGCCCCCACCCCAGCCGGCAGCCCGTGAAGGTCACTGCCCCAGAGGGCCACCTGCCAGGCTGTGCAAGGATATCTAGAGCTCCACCAGGTCCCAGGAGAGCCAAAGCCCAGGACTATAGCCTCTCAGCCCAGGGGCCCTCCTGACAGGTGCCAGCAGGAATCCAGGCTGCTGCCTGAGGCCCTGTGCTGGTCTCACAGCACCCCCTCCCTTTGCTCAGGAGAACCAGTTGGGGCCTTGGACCTTAGGCAGCTCACTGGAGGTGCCCTCGGTCCCTTCAAGAATGGGCAGATTCCGTTGTCCTGCTGAATCCCTAAAGTTTATTGGAGACTAAGCCTCATTCTGGACCCACAATCACGTCTAGCCCAGAATCAGGACCCAAAACGTACCTCAGACTGTTCACCTTGACTCTGGTCTAGGCAAGCCCCCTCTCCAAAGGAGGAGCACCCCAGGCTCTGTCCCCTAACCAGTGTCAGAAGGAGGCCCCAGGAGCAGGTGGTAGGAGGGGGAGGTGCCACCAGGCAGCAGCCCTGCCTGTTGGTCCCCACTGTCACTCCCACTGCAAGTGCTGCGTTTGCAGGGCCCGGCGGTAGGCCCAACTGCCCGCAGCCAGGGCCCAGCGACAGACATCCTCCTTGGGCAGCAGCAGCAGCCTGTCCTCCTCCAGCCGGCTCAAAAGGCCGGCCACACCCAGCATCGCACCCCCCCACATCCCATAAGTGTTGGCTGTGAAAACAGCCACAATGAGGATGGTCACCGAGACCACCAGCACCACTGCCTGACCGGCCACAGATCGGCCCTCGGTGCCGAGGTGGTCACCAGCCACTGCCAGCACCATGCCTCCTCCCAGGAGCAGGTTGGCAGAGGAGCGGTCCCCATTCACCCAGTGGAAATCAAAGGCCAGAAGAGGCAGGCTGATGACAGTGGCCACCCACGCTCCAGCAAGACAGTCTTCATCTGTGCCCAGCCCTGGGGCCAGCATGGTAGCAGCAGCCAAGGCCTGGAGCAGGAAGCCAGCAGCAGCCCCTCGACTTGCCTGTGAACACAGAGAAGGGAGGAGATGTGAGGAAGCAGGTCAGCCTCCACCTCTCTAAGCAAGAAAGGTCTGGGGCTCTCGTGGCAGCCTGGCCCCCAACTCATCTCCCAGCACGCCTCCCCAATTCCAGGGAACCTAGGTCCTTGGGTTTGGGGTGGGACTCAGAGCCCAGAGGGACAGGAGAGAAGTCCTATAGAGCACCTGGCCCTTCCCCATCTACTCACCTGGGCAGTGCACACGGCTGCATGCAAAGACACCACTCCAAGCACCAGGTGGGAGAGGGCTGTACCCCACTCTTCCCCAGATTGGGGGGTCATGGTGGTAGTGTTTGATGAGGTGCCAGGAAGGGGATCCTCAACTTTGGAGAGGAAGAAAGTGCAGAAGCCAGCGACCTGGAGCCCTAAGGGCCGCTCTTCAGGACTCCCACGAGCCACAGCCCCATGTCTAGGTGTTAGGACAGGTTCGTTCTTAACTTTCCGGGGCCCTGAAGCCACCGGGACACAACACCGAAGGAGAATCTAACTCGGCAGGGAAGAGTGGGGGAAGCGGCGCGGGGTCTAGGCTGGGTAGGCGTGAGCCCTGGGACTCAAGAGCGCAAGAGGGACGCGTCGGGCCGGGGGAGACGAGGGCCGTGGGGCGACGGGGGCGCGCCTGCTTCGGCCTGGTGCCTGCGCTCGGGGAGGCGGAAGGCCCGGCCGCGGGCCCGTCCTCGGAACCCGAGCTTCTGGCGCGTCAGCCGGCCTCGCGCAGTTCCCGAGCCCCAGACGCAGCGACGAACGGGAAACTGGGCCCGCTTGCCGAGCCGTCCGCCGCGGTCGTGGCTCCGCGTCCACGCAGCCGACCCCCGGTTGTTCTGGAGAGGGCGGTCACAGCGCCGTCACCAACGAGAGGAGCGGAAGCTAGAGCGGCCGGGGGGGGGGGCGGGGCCTTGGGCGGGCGATTGGGAGACGGGACTAGGAGAAGGGCGACTCTCTACGAAGAGGAGTATCAGTTGGTATATGAAAGGTTAGGATATGCTGAGCAAATAATCTGAGAAGCTGGGCAGTACGAAGAAGACGGCAGGCATGAGGATTGGTGGAAGACTCATCAACAGCCTGCGATATGCAGATGACACAACCTTCCTTGCTGAAAGTGAAGAGGACTTGAAGCATTTACTGATGAAGACGGAAGACTACAGCCTTCAGTATGGGCTACACCTCCATATAAAGAAAATAAAAATCCTCACAACTGGGCCAATAAGCACCATCACGATAAACGGAAAAAATACTGAAGTTGTCAAGGATTTCATTTTATTTGGATCCACAACCAATGCCCATGGAAGCAGTAGTCAAGAAATCAAAAGACGCATTGCATTGGGCAAATCTGCTGCAAAAGAGCTCTTTCAAGTATTAAAAAGCAAAGATGTCACTTTGAGGACTCAGGTGCACCTGACCCAAGTCACGATGTTTTCAATCGCCTGATATGCATGTGAAAGCCGGACAATGAATAAGGAGACAGAAGAATTGATGCCTTTGAATTACGGTGTTGGGGGAAGAATATTGAATGTAACATAGACTGCCACAAGAAAGAAAAAATCTGTCTTGGAAGAAGTACAGCCAGAATGCTCCTTAGAAGCAAGGATGGTGAGACTACGTCTCATATACTTTGGACATGTTGTCAGGAGGGACCAGTCCCTGGAGAAGGACATCATGCTTGGGAAAGTAGAGGGTCAGGGAAAAAGAAGAAGACCCTCAACGAGATGCATTGACACAGTGGCTGCAACAATGGGCTCAAACATAGCAAAACGATGGCGCAGGATGGGGCAGCGTTTCATTCTGCTGTACATAGGGTCGCTATGAGTCTGAACCAATTCCAGGGTACCTAACAACATATGAAGAGAGTGGTTTGGAAGGATCCGCGAGGAGGAGTGAGGGTGTGAGAGGAGGGGTCTGGGGAAGGAACAGTGAGGAGAGGAGGGGTCTGGGGCGGGGCTGTGAGGAGAGGAGGGGTCAGGGGCGGGGTTGACAGGAG